CCCCGGGGGGGGGGGGGGGGCTGGGATTCCCTGCACAGGAGGTGAAGTCACACACGCTTGGTGGTTAACCATTTCATGAGAGTAAGCTTTGGATCCTACACAGGTGCAGGAGATCCTAATGAATCATTTAATGCTGTGCAGAGGGAGCAATCATTTTCAGTGCTCTGCCTTGGCTGTGGTCTCTTCTACCTGTGGTTGCTGAGCCGAAGCTATGAGTCATGCTCTGCAGTCCCTCAACTAGCTTTAGAAGACTTAGAAAACTCAGAAAGTGGCAGGGGAAGAAGAGAAATCAAGATTTACTCCTGTTCTTCAACACTGGGCCACTTGGCCATGGAGGGGTTCTGCATACAGGAACAAACTCCTTCTACTTAGGAGGCTAAATGTTAGGATGAAGGGTGGTAGCCTAGCATCAACCTTTCCTTTTCAAAGCATAGAAATTATGAGCAGAGCACAGAGTGCTGTCCTCTGAAGATGTCGGCCACAGAGACTGGTGAAACGTTAGGAAGAACAACCTTCAGAACACGGCCAAAGAGCCCGAAAAAAACCACAACCACCATAGAAATTATGCTTTGTGGAGAACCATCACCTGTAGTTTTAAGTGGTGCAGCCTAGCCTGATCACTTCATTTGTTAATGACATGTAGTCTTAAAAAGAGAGATAACGTTTGTTATTTAATCCTGCAGATTTGTTTTTTCAAGTGGTAACTAAAAATATGTGGCTTCTTGCTGTTTAAAGACTAATGGCGGGTGGGGGGGAGTACTGGCCATCTGCCATGACAGATGCTCTCGATAAAAAAGCTGTTCAGTTAACCACTATCCTGGAGTCAATAAGACAGCTTTTTTCATAAGTGGAATATACCAGAAATAACTTCGTTAGAACTCTGAATGATATCATGCTGTTTTGCGTCAAACTGGGTGAGAGCAATTTAGATCTCTTTCTTCCCATTTGGAGAAGGCCAGCCTTGTGTCTTTTCCACAGCTTTCCAGTATTCCATGTCCACCTGAGTAGGGTCAGCTCATTGACCTTCTGTCTTCAGCATCATGATTTGCAAAAAAAAAAGCACCATGGGTCAGTTTTTGTCACAATATGCTATGGTGGCTGCTACAGAAGTACCCCAGTGGCAAAAAGCAGTAGATATGTTAGGATGTTTCTGTTCCAGATGTTTTTGAGAGTTAAAGGCAGTACATTTCGCCCTCTCAGTAATCACAGCATAAAGTTTCTATTTATTCTTCCAAACCATCTGTGGTGTTTATATTAGACGTTTGATATATACATATTTAAAAGTTAAGGGTTTTCTGGTCATTTGAATTTCTACACATGAGGCACAGAAGCAGAGATGACATACTGGTTGGCAAATTGAAAATCTTGTTGAGAATTAGCTTTTTACATCTGGAATATATCTAGGTTTCAATGCTCTAGATATATTGAAATAGCAGAAAGCATTTTAAAGAATAAGTTGTATTTGGCAAGACTATAATTGTCTATAGCCCAGTCCATCAAGTGGATGGATTGTTGTCTCAGATGATATTATTGTAGCAGGTGTGGGTGTCTAACTGGGTGGTTTGTAATCTTTAAGGCCAGAGGAAATTAACATGCAAATAGTACCATTTGAATTTCAGTTCCCTGGCCCATTGAAGATCCCCACTAATTTATTTATGTATATTAAAATCTGCAAATATGGTGTACAACGGTTGAAGTGGGGTGTAGTGAAGCCTTTCTCTTCCAAGAGGCTTTCCCTTAGTTATTCACTATCTGAAAAAAGTTTTTAAATGCAATGTTATGCCATGTTGTTTCAAATCTGTCTTTGGTGTTAATTTTGTTGATTTAGTGTGCCATTTGTCTGATTCTTTTTAATATTTGTGTACTTGCTGTTTTTAGCTTTTAGAAATTGTTGTTTAACGATACAGGCCACTTTGGGTTCTTTTTGGAAAGACTGGTGGGGTAAAAACATTTTAAATAAAAAGAAAAAATAATCCAGGAAAGGTATGTCAAATAAAACTAGAGCATTCTTCACGGTAACACATTTTTAATTTATTAATTTTTTTTTTGCTGTAACAGTCTAACATGCAGTTTGCCTAGAAATGGCACATCTTTTAAAATATCTGTTCAGTGTGAGAGAGGATGAAACTTGGGAAGTAATGATTTCTTGTTCCTGCTGTGTGTGTGTGTATGTGCATTTATTCATATGTAGATCAAAGAACAGATCATTCCTTCAGCAAAATGTGCCCCTGTCCAAAACCTTCATAAAACCCTGCATTGCTAATGTGCTAAGACTTGCCAAACTAGAA